ATTTTATTGGCAAGGTTTTGTCCTATAGTGGAGAAGAAATCATTGAGTCTGTTTGCTGTTTCTGTTGGTGGGAGTTGGGGTTCATCTGTTTTTGCTAATTTTATTTCGCTATTTCGTGATATCTTTTTTGTTCCCAGAATTTCTGATAGGGTTTTCCAGGTCTTTTTTATATCACCTCGTAAGTTGGATAATCTGTTCTCATAATACAATTTTTTTGCCCTTCTTATCAGGCTGGTTAGGATTGACGAGTAACGTTTTGTTTGGTCTCTGGTTATGTGACCCATTCTGTACTGTTTTTCATATTGGTGTTTTGTATTTATGGATTTGAGAATGCTGGGTGTTAGCCAGGGACTGGTTCAGTCTCTTTGCTGTCATCTGGTTAGTTTTTTTAGGGCAGTGCTTGTTATAGAGGTATTGGGTTTTTTTTAGAAAATTATTAATACATTCGTCAATATCTGTATAGGTTTCTAGCTCAGTGTGCCAATCAATGTTTGCTATTGCTGTTGTGAAGTTATTAATGGCTGCCTCATTGTGAAGTCTGAAGGTGACTTTAGTAGTGTCTTGGGGTAGTTTACCAAGAGTTGTTATGAGGAAAGTAGGGTAGTGGTCTGTGGTATTATCTGTAATTATGCCTGATTTTAAAGGGGATATGGTGTTGGTCCAGATGTGGTCAAGTAGGGAAACACTAGTCTCTGTAACTCTTGTAGGTTTTGTTACTGTTGGTAGTAACATACAGTTACTCATTGTGTTTGTGAATTCAGTAACGTGTGGGTCCTGGTCTTGCAGGAGATTTATATTGAAGTCACCTGAGAGTAGTAAGTGATCTTTGTTCATGCGTGCATCAGTTATCATACTTCCTAGATTTTGACTAAATTGGCTAATGTTTGACTGTGGAACTCTGTAGATGTTTATCAATGTGAGATGTTTTTGTAGGTACTTTGATTTGAATTTAGCTATTATATATTCCCCATGTTCATCCCTTGTGCAAGTATTAGTGATACATTCTAGTTGGTCTGAGTAGTATATGGCTGTGCCACCCCCTTGTTGATCTGGCCTACAGTTGTGTATGGCTGTGTAACCAGGAATGGCATAGACATCTGTACTATCAGGCTTTAGCCAGGTTTCAGTTAGTGTAATGATGGACATATTGGCATGTAAGGAATTTAGTAATGCTATGAGGTCATCGTAATGCTTGCTTAAAGATCTGATATTGTAGTTAAATATAGTTATGTTGTTGTTGGCACTGAGAAGTGCCTTTGATTGTTCTGCAGTGTAGTAATTACAGTTACTGTTTGATTCATTTAAGTCATTAAATAAGAGGTTGGTATCAGGATCAATGCTTGTAATCATAAGATTTGTAGTGAATCTATAGTTTGAATTAAGTATAAAACAAAGTAAATAGTCTTAAGCTAAAAAATAGCACCTGGATTATTTAACAAATGTAAAATAATGAGCTAAGGGACTAATACAAATAAAGTGATGATCAAATAGTGGAGCTTGGGAATATGATAGTAGGTAGTACTATAAAGGTAATTTTTTAAAGTTAGAATTATAGTATAAAATTATAATATAAAAGGGACTAATATAGGTTGTGGTGACCAATAAAGTGGTAATCAAAAAAATGAGCTTTGGAATATAATGGCAAAATTGTGAACTTATTCTACTTTAGCACCTAAGAATAGCACCTTGATTATTTTAACAATTGTGAATATATAAACTAGGATAGTTATATAAAGCTAAAATAAAGGAGAAAACATATAAGGGACTAAAATTAAGTAATGGTATGCAAAGTTAAATGGGCAGATGGTAGGAATTATAATATAAACTTATAATATAAAAATACAATTTGAAATGGTACTTGCAATTGCACTAGAGTCTGGTATAGGTTGTTGACAAGATCAAGATTATACCTAGATTTAAATTGACAAAATAAAATTCACAATTAAAGTACCAAAAGAATAATAGTAAAAAAATAACAATGGTAATGTCTTGATTATAATATGATAGTAAGAGGGTAGACAGGTACACAGGTACAAGGGATAATATAAAGGTTGGGGTTGAATATAAAAACTTGAAAATTTGGCTACAAAATGTTATGAGAAGTATAAAATAATGTTTAATGTACAAAATTAAAATTGACTGGTAGTAAATATGGTGTTTAATAAAATTTTAGTAAGTAATAATGATTACAAAAAAGTGAAAAAGTAATGTTTATTTCATTCAATATTGCACTGGTAGTTATACTTGAGGTTATATGGCAGTACAAGGTAATTAAGAGTAATCTAGGATAGTAAATGTGGTATTAAAACAGGTAAAGGTAATTAGACAAGTAATGGTTATTAAATGTCAAAATTGTTAAGAGTAAATTGAAATTTTAGTAAAAATGATATTTATTAATTTTAGTAAGTAATATCAATTGATAGTATTTAAAAAAAAATATGAGGTAGTAATATGGACAGAGAAAGTATCAATTCAGCTAATGTTTAAGCGAACAATAGTAAATAACAAAATCACATAAGGTGACCTATGCTTACTAGTAAAATCACAAAATGAGGTAGTTGATTATTTAATTACTAAGAGATTGTACAATGAAATTTGAACAATAATGGAGCAAAACGTACACTACACTACGTAGGCTTTTTAGTTGGACATTGTTTAGTTATTCTCTGTAAGATTGGTATCCCTGAGAAATCGTGATAGATCATTCTCGTTCGTGATTGTGTACAGTTGACCTACATTTGTTTTCCTAACTAGAATTTTCCCATCCCGTGTGAAGCATTGGTGTATTGTGTCATTATTCTCTCGCTTAACTGAGACAAAAAGATTCTAGTGTATATTTAATGATACGTACATATATGCTCTTATGTACCAAGCTCTATTAGCCCTATGCCCCAACTTTAGAAAAATACACCCTATTAACTCTTACTGAAATCCATGGAACTTGTAAACATATAATACAAGCATCTCATGCACACAATCTCTTATACATTCTAATCTACAAGACACCAAACTTCAATTCTAGGAAAAAATAATGTCAATATTATAGCTGGTACAATTCACAACTATAATGATTAATAATAATAACACATAATTTAATATCAGTAATTTGGAATTTATAATTCTTGAGCATCTGTTCTTCATGAAATTCACAAGCACTTACATACCAAACCATAAATACAGCACTGATAACAAAAGAAACTTAAGTTTACATTAAAGAATGATAGCAAGTTCATCTGGATTGTAAACTCTAGAAATGAAATGTACATTCCACCGAGACTTAACTCATAGGCAATAAATCAATTTACTACTATGTAGGTGAAAAGGGGCAGCAAGTGTTAGGAGACATGCCCATGTTTCATTCTGTCCTGTACCGAACCCAAGTTCTTTCAGTTATGTCCAAACTATACCGCTAAGCAATGGGCAAGATAAATTCTCAATATAATGTGTATGGTGTGAATATTATGCAGAGAATTTGTAGCTTTGAAATTAGAATGAGGTGCAGGGTTATCAAAAGAATTGTCTCGAGTTGAAGAGGGTTTGTCGAGGTGGTTTGGTCATTCAGAGCGGATAGAACGAAATAGTACGACTTGGAGGGTGTATGAATCTGTAGTGGAGGGAAGTTGAGGTAGGGGTTTGTACTTGGAAAGGATGGAGGGAAGGGGTAAAGGAGGTTTTATGTGAGAGGGGCTGAAACATCCAGCAAGATTATCTGAGTGTGTTACATAGGAGTGAGTGGAGGCAAGTGTTTTTTATGACTTGACATGCTGTTGGAGTGTGAACAAGGTAACATTTATTAAGGGATTCAGAGAAACTGTTTAGCTGGATGAGTCCTGGAGATGGGAAATATAGTGCCCACACTCTGAAGGAGGAGTGGGGATATTTGCAGATTTGAGTGTAGTATCGGTACCCCTCTGGCAAAACAGTGATGGAGTGAGTGATGGCAAGTGTTTCTCTTTTCCTTTTTTTGGAGGAGGGAGGGTCACTCAACCTTGGTGGGAGACAACTGGTGTTAAAAAAAAAAATTAAAATTACGAAGGAACACACACACTTCAAGATGAGTTACAAATTAAAATGGTATCTGCTGAGGTCACAGTTTTTTCATATCACTGACATCTGGTGGAAGGTTAGTAAGTAAGTAAGTAATATATCCAAGAGTTACCCAACAACACAAGGATATTTTAGTTTAGTGATAGGAGAACCTTATCCAGTGGGAAAACACTGGAGACTTGAAATTGATCAGTGACTTGGGAATGTCTGAGATCTCTGGCAGCCATTAGAAATGCTAATGTAACAAAGTGAAAAGCTGAAATTAAGCTGTCTACAAAATAGCTCTACAGAGGTTATTAAAGTACTATACTAATAAGCTCTTGTTATTTTAATCTAAATAACTATATTCTTCATACACTGTAGTTACACAGAAAAGTGACTTGTTATGATGACTTAACCTAGGATACACTTACAATTCTCCAAAGGATGTAAACCCATCAGGATTCTTCTCCCAAGAAAATAAAAATTGAGCATGCTAACTTGATTTAGGATAAATTTATATGCAATTTTACTGACTGTCTAAAATTTCAACATTTCTTTATTATACTGGAGAGGGAGCACTAAACCCATAGGGACCATACAGCACTGGAAATGGGAGGTAATATAGTTCAATCCTGGGGAAGGATTAACTCGTTTCTTGGATCAAGAGATCTTCACCATCATGAAAGAACCCTCTCCCCCCCCCCCGCATCCTTTGAGAACTTTTTTTATATAATCAATCACGAAGGAGCGCTAAACCCGGTTATTTTTTATAGTTACCACTCAGCTTTAGCCTGACGTATTTCCTGAACTCCTCTTACTTCTAACAGTCATATAAGATTAGTTTGTCTAGACAGTACTTCTACAATAAATGCGTCAATAAACTGTCTAGCAAAAAAAAAAAAAAATAAATCGTGAGGAAACGAGAAATAGTAGATTATGAGGAGCCAGTTATGTGTGCCTCCTGGCCTTACCTTCTTGACCTCAAACCTCTTCTTGTCTTGTTTGGAGGTGCTTGAAGAAGGCACCTCCACTTCTTCCTCCTGTGGATCCACCTCCATCGCTGACATTCTTCTCTTCCTCCACTCTTCCTCACACTACCATAACACACTCCCTCTCTCTCTCTCTCTCACTACCTCAACCACCACAAAAAATATATTAAAACAAAAACAAAAATCTTCTGAATATTCCCACTATAAGATAAAGCTTATTTTATTGATTATAAAGCATGAAAGACTGGGTTATTTGTAGTTAAAGTGTTCTTCTCGCCGAGGCAAAGAGTTATTTTCACAGTAGATGATCCTATATTTTTGTTCATGTTTTAAATTATTATTTATTTACGAGGAAGCCCTAAATCTGCATGGGTCATGCAGTGCTTGGGAGATGGGAGACAAATAAAGTTTAGTCAAGGATAGGGCAGCTCTAATTCCTTGAATGACGAGCCCTTCTGACTTTTCTTGCGGTTATCCTAGGTAATTTACATATATGTTAATATGTAAAATAATTTATGTAACTTTATTTATGTGTACCTGTACCTAACTAAACTTACTTACACCTTCGCCCTAATGGAAATAAGTCATTTCGTCTGACTTTTTTTTTTTTTTTTTGGGGGTGGGGGGGGGGTTCCTAGGTAATTTACACTATGTATGGAAATTGTATTTATGTGTACTTGTGTTAAATAAACTTACATCAAGGACTTCTTTTCTTAATGATTTATTTAATTTAAAAAAGAATAACAAAATTTGGGAAAAACCAGATGGAAACTTCCATTTT